TTGACCAAGGGATTGCTTATTGTAGGATCTCGGCTCGTTGCAGGATCTTCTATTTATAGTTTTTATATTAGTGATGTCTTATGTGATTTGTCTCTTCTATTTACAGTTTTCATGTTAGTGATGTAACCTATGTTATCATGTTAGTGATGTCTTCTATGATACATCTTGGGATAAAATGTTACTATGTAAACTTTAACTCTACTTCCCACTTGCTTCTATATTCATTACAGTTTATTTCATGATGTTATATGAACAAAGGCAACCTAGCTTTCTGATTGCTTTCAAAAAATCAACGTTGACAACTTACTGCTGTGTTTATTTGCTTGGATGTCTGGATATAAACTCTTGGGACAAGTTATATTTGTGCCTTTGATTTGTGGGTTTACTCCTGTGTTCGATCACCATGAATAGCAGTTGCAGGGAATTGATTCATATATAACCAATGTTCTAATGAGTCAGCTCCTTTTTTTGTCTCCACAAAGACCAAAGTAAAAGCTTGCTACACAAAGACAAAGCAAGTCCGTTACTAAAAAATTACAACGTCAGAGTCTAGTATTTAATCCAAAAGGACAAGTTACTTCACTTAAAAACAGTATACATACATGAGCAAGAATAATAAATTGAAGTGAAGTTAAAAAATAAATACATGCCGACATAGGGTAATAAGAATATATAAAAGATAAATTGAAGTGAAGTTATACTTGATGAAGTTAGAACCGAACAAACCGAACAAACCGCACCGAACCGATTTGCAATGGTTCGGTTCGGTTTTGAATTGTAGGTGGTTCGGTTCGGTTGTTCAAATTTTGGTAAAAACTGACCCGAACAGAACCGTGCTCACCCCTAGTGGTTCCAACCAGAGCCTATGTCGAAGGTAGAGATGAAGGTAGTGAACGACAACCCTCATGGATAGCGTCAGAAGGGACTCATACCACACACTGAACCTAATGGTGAGGTTCTTTGGGTCTACCTAGATCTACTTGGAGATGAATAGTGGGCAAGATCATCTTCTAAAAAGAAGGCTAAGAACAAAGGCAGATCTTGTTATCTTGCTATTGTAATCCCTGAGAAAGATGATGAAAATGTCCCTACTTTTCCTCTGTCTAAAGAGGAACATGAAGTCTTTACTACCAAGAATAGGAATGAATATCAGTACAAATATCCTGAAGTTTCTGATCCGAATGCCAAAACGTTAGCTGAACTGGGCGTGGTTACAACTCCACCTACACTTGCTCAGAAACCCCAACAGCAGCTAATTGCCAAACAAAAGGAGAAAGAGCCTCAGCACAAAGAGGTTCAAGTTCCGAAGCAATATCGTTTTAATCGACCGATTGGATGAGATAAACCAAAAAGTTTAAATACTCTGTACCGCTTCGATGTCATGGCTCAGTTAGCAAACATCCCAGTGAGGATCACTTTATATGAGTTGTTGCGCCTCTCGAAAGACACCAGGGAAGCTTTACAAGAAGCATTGGCTGATTCTAATGTGTTTCTCACTCAGATTAAGCCAACCTCTGAGGAGCCGAAATCATAAGTTCAACACTGTAATCTTACGGTCACACAATTCCCTTGCATTACTTTTACCAAGGAAGATATGCAAGTGAGGAATTCAAAACATAATAGGCCATTGTATTTCATCGGATACATTGGCTCCAGCGTTGTCAACCGGATCCAACTCGACCCGGGTTCCGCTGTTAGCATCATGCTACTCCAATTGATGTATCATCTCGGAATCCCTGCCAGTAAATTAGCTCCCACATGCACTGTAATCTATGGATTCAATACCAGTGGATCTAGACCGCTGGGAAAAACCTGAGTGAAATGTTAGCTTGGGGATCTGAAGTTCGAGGTCACATTCTACGTGAGTGATGCCAAGACTTCTTATAACTTGTTATTGGATCGACCTTGGATCCATAGTAATCTTATAGTTTCTTACACCCTCCATCAGTGTCTGAAATATGTTGACTCTAATAATGGGGTCAAGACGATGGTCACGGATAAGCAACCGTTTAAGGAGTTGGAAAATTACTTTATTAATTTCCTTCTTTACAGTGCTGAATCCGATACTAAACCATCGGCCTAAGACATGGATAGCGGAGAAGAAGCTGATATCGAAACCGGGCTCGATTATGATGAAAGTCTTTTATTTAATGACATTGAACCTCTTGTAACCGATCTTGACGGTGGCAAATCCTCAGACAAAAGTTGTAACTAGCAACTTGCCGATTATGCAATAAATGACGATTTAGAGTACTCGCTTTGTCATACTAATGTAATGTAGGAACTATATGATAACCCTAACATACACATACCGCTTCAGTCATCTTTGATACGAGTCACCGTGCGAGCACCTTTGATTGCAGAATTATCAAATGTGGGTTGAGAAGAGGATGACAGAAACACAAGAAGAATTCAGTTTGTGGCGAAGGAAAATACCCTCTCTAGATTATGATACGAAAGATTACAATCCCTCTCTCACAATCTCACTAGAATCGAGAACTCTCAATTCTCTCTAAACCCTAATCTCTCTTGATTAGAATCTCTCTTTGATTACATTTGATTTATTAGAAACCCTAAACAATCCCTTATATAGGTGTAACAACGTGGATGGCAAAGTGACAAATAACCAAGCTCCAACCCCACAGGAAAACGTGTAAACAGAAACCTAAACGAACCAGGAAATCATCGATGAGTCGACTCATGAACACTCATGAGTCGACTTACGGGATCATGAGTCGACTCATGAAATGATGAGTCGACTCGTCAGAAATTTTTGACAAAACGGTTAGGTTTCATGAGCCGACTTATGACAGTCATGAGTCAACTCAGCCTGATAAGTCAACTCATGACTATTATGAGTCGACTCACGGGCTGAAAACTAGATGCTTTGACTCTGATACCAACTTGATACGAGTCGCCGTACAAGCACCATTGCGGAATTATCAAAGGTGGGTTGAGAATAGGATGACAGAAACACAAGAATAATTCAGTATGTGGTGAAGGAAAATACCCTCTCTAGATTATGATACAAAAGATTACAATCCCTCTCTCACAATCTCACTAGAATCGAGAACTCTCAAGTCTCTCTAAACCCTAATCTCTCTTGATTAGAATCTTTCTTTGATTACATCTGATTTATTAGAAACCCTAAACAATCTCTTATATAGGTGTAACAACGTGGATGACAAAATGGTAAATAACCAAGCCCAGACCCCACAGGAAAACGTGTAACCAGAAACCCAAACGAACTAGAAAACCATCGATGAGTCGACTCATGAACACTCATGAGTCGACTTATGGGGTCATGAGTCGACTCATGAAATGGTGAGTCGACTCGTCAGAAACTTTTGACAAAACGGCTGGGTTTCATGAGTCGACTTATAACAGGCATGAGTCGACTCAACCTGATGAGTCGACTCATGACTATTATGAGTCAACTCACGGGCTGAAAACTAGATGCTTCGATTCTTCGATTCACCGTCTCGTTCCATGCTTCAACCTGCATTCCACTATGCTGTTTTACACCTCTATTCCTAAGTTACCATGAGAATCATCTATCCTCAAGCTCCCATGACGATCACTAAGTTTCAAAGAGAAGAGACACCCGTATCAGTCTTGCATGATGAAAAAGTGCATCCAAGACTCATTCGGAACAACCCTTGTCCTACTTGCAAAGGCAGGGGTGGAAAAGAAATAATCTTTGGTAAAGGAGAGCTATCCCCACCCTCCAATCTCTTCTTAGAAATCAATATTGATGATGAAGGGCCTGGACGATATTTCTTCAGATATAGCTCACAAGCACATGATTATATGAAGAAGCAAGGATATAACCTCACACTCGGTGAAGGTCTTCATTTTGGTCAAGGCATCCGGGTTCCACCCCGTCCTGCCTATGTAACATGAGGGAAAACCAACAATTATTATGAACACAAGAGAGGTCTAGGCTATGTCTCTTCATCCGACAACGAATGTTGTTGGCAAGTCATCAACTAGTTGTCTAACTCGAGTAGAGATGGGTATTCATCAGATTCTATAGATTGGGATTACGACATCAGCCTTGGAGAAATGTTCAGAGGCCTAATGTCGAACATTGTTACGTTTGATCCTGCCATAACAGAGGAAGATGAACAAATACCAACTTGGGAAGACTGTTGGATCTATCACTTAAATATGCAATATGGTGATAGATTCGAGCAAAGAGAACCTCCCACCGAAGACAGAGTGATCCAAGTGAACATGGGTGATGAGGTCAGTCCGAACCCATATTCATCAGTGATAGTCTTCCACCAGATGAGAAAGAAGAGTTGATTGCCATCATTAGGGAGTATATTGATGTTTTCGCCTGGAATTACAAGGACATGCTAGGACTTAATCCAAATGTAGCGACGCACCACCTCAACATCAAATCGGATGCCAAACCTATCAAGCAACAGCAAAGACTATTTTGTACGCAGATCATGGAGGCGATTGAGGTGAAAGTCAAAAAATTAATCAATTTGGGCTTCATCAGAGAGGAACAACATCCTGAATGGCTAGCGAATATTGTCCCAGTTCTTAAAAAGAATGGAAAAATCAGGATCTGCATCGACTTCAGAGACCTAAACACCACCTTCCCAAAGGACAATTTTCCTCTTCTGATCACAGATGTCATCATTGACAACACATGTGAATTCGAAAGGATGTCCTTTATGAATGGATTTTTGGGTTATAATCAAATTAAGATGTACCTGGATGATGAAAAGCATACCGTATTCAGAACATCGCTTGACATCTTCTATTACACAATTATTCCCTTTGGCTTGAAGAACACTGGCACCATATATCAACGAGCAATGACGAATATTTTCTCGGAACACCTACGGAAGACCGTCGAGTGCTATATTGATGACTTGGTCATGAAAAGTCACAGTAAAGATGACCATATTAAAGACCTGAGGACAATGTTCGATCTCATGTGGAATCACTAATTGAAGATGAACCCTACTAAATCCTTCCTAGGAATGTCCAGCGGTAAATTCCTTAGATTTGTCGTCACCACAAAGGGTATCTATATTGATCCCGATAAAGTGAAGGTGATACATGAACTGCAACCCCCGAAGAACCTCAAAGAACTCAGGGGATTGCAAGGACGATTGGCTTATTTTCATGGGTTCATCTTGAACCTCTTCGGAAAATGCCAACCGTTCTCCAAGCTCGCAAAGAAGGGTGTATCATTTATTTGGGATGATGCCTGTCAGAAAGCATTTGAAGATATCAAAGCATATCTGGTGAATCCTCCTGTCCTCGTTGCACCGAAATCGGGTAAACTATTTTTGATTTACGTCAAAGTGACGAACCACTCATTAAGTGCTTTACTTGCACAAGATGAAGATGACGGTCACGAACATACAGTGTATTATCTGAGTCGTACTTTGGTAGGGGCTGAATCTCAATATCCTATGATCAAGAAGGAGTACCTCGCCTTGGTGTTCGTTATCCAAAAAATGCGTCATTACCTAGTTGGCCAGACGATCTACATTATTTCCAATGTTAATCCAGTCCAAGTGTTCATGACTCAACCGACTTTAATGAATTGAAGGTTAGAGAGACGGGCTCTACTCCTATCTCAGTATGACCTACATTTTAAGCAACAGAAATCAGTGAAAGGACAAGCAATTTGCGATCTTCTAGCAGCTAACCTTATGAAGGATACAGCCGAATTGTACGAAGATTTGCTGGATGAAACCCACGAAGTCAATACTACTTCGCATCAACAAGTGTGGCAACTGTATTTTGATGGGGCTTCCCAAGCAACCAATGTGGCGAGCACTCCAGGATGTTCGAAAATATCTTCAGGAATCGGAGTTATCCTAGTTTCCCCAGAGAAACACATATTGCCTCAAGCTTATTCACTTACTGAGTCATGCTCCAATAATATAGCTGAATACAATGCGCTGCTCATTGGACTCAGTTTCGCCAAAGAGCTTGGGGTCAAATATCTCAAAGCTTTTGGTGATTCTCAACTGATAGTCAATCAAGTTCGGGGAGAGTACGAAGTCAGAAACCCAGATTTGATTCTATACTACCAGGCAACTATTGAAATGGCAAACTTATTTGAAGAATTCTTCATCGAGTACATCCCACGTCTCTAGAACACATATGCAGATGCACTGGCAGCATTAGCGGTATCTTTGGCATAGCCTTCCAAGATAGAACAACTGGTTACGGTGAGAACTCACCAACTTTTTGTACCAGATTACACTTTTGACAATAAAGAAGTGCACTCGATCAAAATAGAACTCGAGCCTCGAGATTGGCGATTCCCTATTATTAATTACGTCTTGTATGGTATTTTACCAAAAAATATAAAGGAAAGGGACTCAGTCCGACGGAGAGCACCAAGATTCTATTACAACACAGCAACTCAAATGTTGTATCGTCATGCATATGGCGGTCTGCTACTCCAGTGTCTTTCAACTAAAGAGGCAGAAGAGGCGCTCAAAGAAGCACATGATGGGACATATGGAGCACACCAACCCAGTCCCAAACTTGTGATCGACTCAGAAGAATAGGATATTATTGGCCAACCATGGTCAATGATGTAATTGACTATGCTCGACGATGTCAAACGTGTCAAATACATGCAAATTATATGTACCAACCTCCGGAACATTTGCATCCTTCAGTTACATTATGGCCATTCGAGACATGGGGAATGGATGTCGTTGGTCCTATTTTTCCTCCATCGGCCAAAGGTGACCGTTTCATTTTAGCAATCACCGACTATTTCTCCAAGTAGGCTGAAGCAGTTCCACTTAAAGAAGTAAAGACAAGCGATGTCATCAAATTCATCAAACACCATATTATTTACCAATATGGTGTTCCAAGACGAATTGTACATGATAACGGCTCTCAGTTTGTCAGTAATGCCTTCATCAAATTCTGTGAAAAATTCAGAATTCAAGATGTTTCGTCGACCACATATAATCCCACTGCGAATGGATTGGCTGAAGCCTTTAACAAGACCATCATAAAGATTTTATCAAAGCTTTTGAGAACCAATAAATGAGACTGAGATGACAAACTTGGTGAAGCTCTTTGGGCCTACCGCACCACCGTTCGCACGCCTACTGGAGAAACTCTGTATTCCTTAGTATACGGGTGTAAAGTCGTCCTCCCGTTAGAAATCCAAATTCCTTCCCTCCGCATCGCCCTCGTAACGGGTATGACAACGGAAGAACAACATTAGAAACGTCTCGAAAAACTCGAGATGTTAGATGAAAGGCATTTAGAAGCTCAACAACAAATTGAATTCTACCAAACCAGAATTTCCAAGGCCTTTAACAAGAAAGTCCGATAATGAAAATTCAAGGAAGGAGACTTGGCTCTTGCTGTTCGCTGACCAATGATACTCAATTCTAAGAAGAAAGGTAAATTTTAACCCAAATGCGAAGGGTTGTTTGTAATAGAGACAGTCTATTCAAATGGTGCATATCGTCTGATCACCCAAGATGGCAACAAACTCATGATACCAACAAATAGGAAGTTCCTGAAGAAGTACTACCCCTAGTACATTCGGGATAACCTACTTAAATGGAAAGTCCCTAGAGAATACTATGTACATGGTATTTTTAAGGATAACCCGAGATCAGTCGATTATTCCAGATAGAAACTAATCATTTGAATAATTTATTCTTAATTATTATAATAATGATTAAGAACCTCCTACTATGGCGATTTAATTATTTTTAAGATGATTAAAATCCTCCCACTGTAACTTACTCTTTCATTGAGATGAGATTCAACGACTGCATATGGTCAATGTTTCCTCATGAAACTCCCAAGGTGTAATTGTGAAGTGCTTAATGATTCATGATCCTCCACCACAAAATACCTCATTGATCAAATTAAGTGACGGTGGGTCCACCAAAATTCCTCACAGTTAAATCCATTTAAACTCCCACTATGTTTTTAAGCCTTTAACACTCCCACTGTTGAAGTCCTGACACGACTTTTCAATCTGCTGATCCATGGCAATCAACGAACCCCCTTCATGTCAATATCTTATCACTTGATACCGAAAACCCCCAGTGAGTATTTTGTATAAATTGACATTATCATTGTTATTTGTGCCCTCTACTCTCACTGTTTCTTGGTCAAACCTTTCTACAGTTAGGGCTAAAGCCAAAATCCCCTCTTGATTCCTTCCATGAACGAGAGGTCCACAAATTGAATGATCAAACCTTTAAATAGTTAGGATCATCCTAAATTCCCTTCAGTCAAACCTTTTGTAGGCGTATAAAACTGCCTATAGGTCCCTTAACACAGCTCGACAACACCGATTCGACGAACCGACCATCGGGCGACGTATGCAGACACGATTGTTAGTCCACAACGCCGAAGCCAAGCGATACGCGACGAAGCGGATTAACGAGGCTACGATATTTAAGGACTGCTAATGACGGCAGTAAAAAGGTTAGAGAGGCAGAAAAGAGAAGATATACAGGCAGAATACGTAGAAAATACGCAGAAGCGCAGCCTTCACTCAGAAATTCATAGAAATTCGTAGAAGACTCCGTTTTACGATCCGTTAGAAGCTGTGCGAAGTAGACTCAGAGCCGGACGACCCAGTACCATCATTACAGCGAGTGCTGCTTCAGAAAATTCCAGATCGACGCGACAAAGACAATATTGAGCATCTCTAATCTTTGTTCCTTTTATGTTTATTCATTGTCGATCTGTATTGTTTTTGCACTTTTGCTTTTGGACTCTAGATCTGTTATGGGTTGGAATTTTTGGAGGCGAAGCTCTGCTGGATTCAAGACTCAGATCTAAAAAAGATCCAAGCTTTGGGACTTCGAGGACTTGTTCATCCAGATCTGGTGCTCGGCGATCGTCAACGCCAAATAAGGCAAGAGTTCGAGAGGACCGGATCTCAGATCTACGCAGGCGTACTCTAGATCAAAGCTTGGTCTTTGATCCCGAGAATTAAAGGCTACTATTTCCTTGGCGAAATAGTACCCTCGACTATTATTTCCTTGGCGAAATAATACCCGTTGTACTACGTAGATCCGACCGGATCTTGATCTCGCGGTGGTCCACGGATAAACCCCGGCGCAGGCAAAGAACCCACAAAGCGAACGACCGCAAAACAGGATCTCGTGATTTGTTCGACAAATAAGGAGAAAGTTGTAATCTTTTTTTTATTTTCTTTGATTTTCATTGTAACCGGATCTTATAATAAGACCGGATCTTTGTAACTCAAAAAGCTGTTATTTAAGATGATAATAGAATCAACAATGAAGAAAGACATGATTTTCACCACGAACAATCTGGCGACCACAGTGGGAGCCACCGATCTCGCTGCCGAGATCGTTGCGTCGCAGCCGCGGATCTCAATCCCGGTCGAGGAGGAGGTCGAGTATGAATTCGACCAGGCCAAGTTCGAGGAGTACCTTTCATCCTCGTCTGGATCTACCTCCCCCCGCAAGTCCAAGAAGTTCTCCTCCAGGAGAAAGGTCCGTTGGTATGAAGAAGTACAGAATGCCAACGAGCAGGGGGCGTGGTGACTCTCTCGAAGAGAGCCCGCCAAAGGCAACGTCAACGCCTTGCGAAACGATTCGCAAAGGCCATGGAGTCAGTTGACGGGGTCCGCTACAACGCGGATCTGAAGAACAAGAGAGGCAAAAAGCCTCAACAATCGATGAATGGTGGTTCCTCCAAGCCGCCAACAATGGAATGGGTCTGTGTCAAACGGAACCGATCAACGCTGGAGGAGCGCATTCGCAAGCGCCGCGCACTATCAGCGCAGGCACGTGCTCAAGCTGAAAAAGCCCGTAGGAAGTTGCAGAAAGAGGTGGCCAAGAAGCCGCCATCAACCAGCAAAGTTTGGAGGCCGAAGTCTGAATCGGTGGTTCAGACCAAAGAGCGTCAACTGCAGCCGTCGAAAGTTCAACTTCCGGCGAATCAATCCAAACCGCCGATGATTTCCACAACTGCTCCGGGAGATCCCGCAGGACCATCCCAGAAAAGGAAGTCGGTTTTGGAGCGCCTCGGTCCACTTCCCGAGGAGCGAAGCAAAGCTCCAATTCAAGGACGTTTTGGCCCAATGAAAAAGCCCCGAACGATTCAACACGCTGGGGGTCGCCACAACCCTCAATTTGACGAGGAAATCAGGGCAACTAAGCGCACTACGCTGCGTATTGAAATTCAGGAGCCTGTTGAGAGTTCACGCCCACAAAGGCGTGTTTCGAGGCGCGTGACTCTCGAAAGTCCGAAGAAGGTAATTTGCTCTCAGAAGGAAACGTTATCGTCTGATGATGATTACGTTATACCTGAGAAATCGTGCCAACACACGATAGGTTGCTCCGACTTTCAAACGGACGAGCTGTACTATCGTGCTGGGGGTACGAGCAAAGCCAGAAAGAGAAGTCCTCGAAGGCTAGAAACTCAGTGCCCTTGTTCAAAGCTCATTCGTGCGGTACTGTCTGAGTGCAACTGCATCAAGGCAGTCCCCGAGAGAGTTTCGGTGTTCGAAAGACTTAGTACCGAAATGCCAAAACCAAGGCCTAGGCGTTTCCGACGAAGAAGAACGGCGGTCAAAGATGGAGAATTTCCGAGGGTCACCGCTAACATGACCAGCAAAAGGACATCGACACAGGATAATCCCGAGTCGATTCCGGAAGCACCCTGGTGTGTAACCCGTCTGCAGTCTGGAGCCATCATACGAGGAACTTACGGTAGGGTTCGGACAAGGACACCTTCAGAAGATGAAGAATCGGATGCCTGCTCTGCGGTGCATCAGATAATACAGTATCCAGCGAAGGACAACCCCGCGAGTCATTTATGATAAGAACGGAACAAGTGGCCAAGATGCTCGAAGAAGCCATGGCCAAACAGCAGGAGAGCTTCAGGTTCGAAATGCAGATGGCCATGCAGAATATGAGAGAAATGCATGAGCAACAAATCCAGGCACTGACGAACCTGCAAGGCGAACCAAGCCGCCGTAATCAAGTTGTTCAGGAAGTTGAGCATACGGATGCGGATAAAGCTCGCAACGCCAATAACCCTCCCGTTAATGCAGAGGGTGGCAATGAGGATGCTAGTCACAATACCATGCTTCCACCTTAGAATCGTGCTGACGAAAACTCGG